AATATATCTAAATTCTATTTTATAACAGTAATACAATCTAGACACGTATAAAGATAGATAGGTATCTATCTACCGTAGCTAAAACCTAGACACAATTCTAGGCGATCTAGCAAATTAGATGACGTAAAGGGCCCAACCTAAAAGCACGACGCGACATTTAACATTTCATAATAATAGTCATAGGACACGCACGGCGTTATCATATTTGAAATCAATCAACAAACTTATCTAAACCCATATAGGTATTGATTGCTACATCTTCACATTGTCTATATACTTTGGTGTATCTTCTTCTTTAATCTTTCTGTCGCTATCCCAAGCTGATCTGGGTCTCCCCCGTCAGATGTTGTTATTTCATAACAAACTCCCTTTTCTTTAACTATTATATCTTTTATTTTGTTCTTTTAAAATTAACATTTGGTTTGTCACAATATTTGCATGCTAACACCTGATAAAAAATAAATAGTTTCCACATGCTCACGTCTTAGGTGATGCGAAAAAAATATTGTAAGTATGTAGCAGACGTAAACTAATTGGCCATAAATAGAACAATCGCGCTTTATCACAGAATGACCCGTCTCAAGGACATCTGTGTCATCAGATCACATCGTCGTTTACACTAGGTAGATAGAACCGGTTATTTTCTGAAGCCAATGGAAACTAACAATAATAATTGCTCAAAATAATGCCAAGACATGCGTCTCAACTGCATCTATAGACAATCGTGCAATTAATAGAGTTATTCAAACGTAAGATAGTGAAGTTATCGGAAAATAGAAGTTATATAAAATCTATACTTATAATAAATCTGTAGAGAGGTCAATTCTGTACATAAAATATATTTAAAAAATAACTATCAAGGGGTGGCTAGGGATCGCTACTGATGCCAAAAATGCAATCAGTAAAATTTTTGTCTGTCTGTCTGTCTGTCTGTATGTTCGTTATGGGAACAAAAACTACTCGATGGATTTTAACGAAATTTGGCACAATTATTCTTCATACTCTTGGGCAGGTTATAGTATACTTTTCATTACGCTACGATCAATAGGAGCAGAGCAGTGAAGGGAAATATTGGGAAAACGGGAGAAGTTACTCCATTTTTTAAGCTTCCGTCGCGTGTGCAGGCTTATAGGTTGAAGCTGCATAGAAATCATGTATGATGGAAATATTCTCCTTAAAATTATATTAATTCTAAAAATTATATATATAGGTAGATTATGGTCTGAAGTGATACATAGGCATTTTACCCCTGGGATCGTGGGCGAAGCCGCTGGCAGAAGCTAGTTTTTAAATACTTTTCCTCATAGCATGCAAAATGGATAAAACATTTTTTTTAATAAGTAGGTGCTAACTAAATTGTCTAATATCTACTTAGCACATCATTGTAGGTATGTATTCTGCACATAAGCGCCTCTGTAATATAAATGGTGCAGACAACCATAAAAATAGAGCATTTATGGGTGATAAGTGAATTATGCTTGTCCCTCGATATCTCCGATCTACATTTGGCTTTATTCCAACCAATATAATCACGCTCTTCATTCGACGGAATTCTTGTAATTCGCACTTTTCTAAATACGATTGTCTGGACGGTCTCGCAGTTTTTGATTTATCGTGGAACATAATTTACCAACGCGCCACAGCGGTGAAATTAGATTTTCGATTGAATTCGATTTTGACCTCAGCGTGGTACAGAACCCACAACTTTCGTTCTTGTTTTCCTCGAAACGCTTGAAAAATCTGACCTACCAAACTGCCACTTCCTTAATACTTGATAAGGGTCGTGAATCCATTATTTTATGACCTTTCAAATCTCAAGGTTTTCTGTTGTTTGATGGATTGCTATTGCCTTTGAGCTTATATCAAAATATGAAGCAGTTTGGGCCTGAATTGCATAACCTACTATTTATAATTAGACCTTCATATAAAAGTTCAATTGATTGCGGTGTATTCGAACTACAAACACGGAAATGGGTTTGTATTAACAACAACACGTTATATTGCTTTTGGTCATTTCTATAACCCGATCGATACCTAATCATACCAAAAGTTATACAATATTCATAGTACCTACACATGTAAGTAAATGGTTGAAGTTTCGACATTAATTGCCATAATTTCAAGAATAATCGACACACCCTAGACAATAATGGACTAGAATTTGTTTATTAGAAAAGAACTTTCCTCGTGTCTACTTACAACATTAATTCTCTTAAATATGACTTATACACCCTTAGTCTTAAACAGCTTTGTGTCTTTGATTTGGATCTCTTCGAAACTATTTTGGCATTATTGGATGCCTATAGATATTTTGTCATAAATTGCATAAGTATACATGGATCATCCGCTGTTATTCATACGATGGACGTTAGCAATAAATACTTATGATCTCATTTACGAATTACCCGTCTTATCAGCCATCCAACGTAATGCAAAGTAAACAGATGTTTCTCAGTAGTGGTTAAACTTTTATTATCGCTAGACTGGTTTGTGCGCAGTATTTTTATTGAACTAGATCCAGAACGGGAGTGCTACGAGTTAGATTTTGTATTGTTACCATTTAATCTCAGGTACAGGAAATATTGAAAAGCTTTAAATTCGAACTGCGAGAATAAATCGGTGTGTCGTGTATAAGCTTAGGTTGGCGGGATCGAAAATCTGCTCAAACCGCACGTGATACCACCTCGGTAGCATTTTTATCTGGCATCACCGTCGCCGCGAGCATGAAGTGTGAACACCGGAGATTTCCGCCGATATAAATCCCGGTACGCGACACCCTTACTCTACACCGTCGCATCCCCAGTGCAATCCGTGAATTTGTGGAGTGGAAGCCGCCGGTAGTGCATCGCGTCTGGAATTTGAACGCACCAAATCTTGCTACCAACAACGTCGGGCTCTTAACGCAAACCGTCACGTAGTCCTGTCTATGTATTCACAGGTTTGACACTGCCTGCGACGTCACGTTTTCCTTGTTTCTGTCGTGGTTTCTGATTTGGTTACTTCCTTTATCTACCAATTTACCGTTCCTCCCCCGGACAAGTAGACATCCATAGTTTTTATTCGATTATTCGACAAAACCGCTACTGTCAAAGAGGCATTTCGGGGATTATTTAAGATGGTGTTTGTAACGTCGTTGTGAGCTGTATGTGACGTGAAGGATTAGAAAGCTATTAAATAGACAATAGGAGTAAGAGGAATGCTAGTGGACGACAGAAACGCGGAGGTGACAGGCGGGCCGTTAACATGGCCGTTACAGGCTCAAGTGATATATGAGCTGCGAAGTGGCTTGGTGCCGCTGTCACTTCGCGTTTCGCCGCCGCTTCGCTCTGGCAAAAAGATAAAAAGGATTCCGAAATACGATTCACAAGTGGGCTGCCGGAAATGGGCAGAAAGTTACCGAGCACGGCTTTATGTCGGGCAATATATCTCTCGTATCGCTATCCAATTTCTGCTCTATGGCATGTAATATCCCTCTAGGGAAGCTTTAATTTGAAACTCCTTTTAATCAACACCATTCATTCTAACCTCGATTTAGTGGGTCTTTAAAGGCCTAAAGGTTTTTCTTTCCTTTGTGCTTGTTACTTTACCATGCGTCAGATGGTTTAGCTTAGGGGAAGGAAAACTTGTTTAGGACCAACGTTATGTTCACGTGAAGGGTCATGCTAATAAGAAGTTACTTTAGGGATTTCCCAAGCTGTAAGTAATTGGAATATTCACAAATTACCTGTAAAGATTTAATAAATATTTAATATTTAATAAATTAAAATTAAAATTAAAAAATATTTAATATATAAAAATAAAAGTTAATAAAATGGAATTACGCTGAAATAAGGCTATGAGAGAATAATTTTCGTTTTTTTAAAAAGGAAACACCTAGAGTGTGTTCTAAAAATTGATTTTTCCTTATAGTTTATTCAACCTGTACTTACTATGGATGAAGTAAGGTGTAAGTTGCGTGACTGGCCCGACCGCCGACCTCCAACCTTCATTGACCTGCGACATTGAGGCACACCCTACCGCTCTATTCCTATCACTTTGCCCACTGATTTATTTCCATTGTTTTTTAGTGTTTATAAGACTTCTATTTTGAGTTTTTAATGGATACCACAGATATTATCTCCAGAGCTTCAGCTCGAAGAGCAGAAATTGGAACGGGGTGGTTTTTAGTCAGTAAGAGTCTGACACTCCCTCTCGTCTCACCTAAGGCGGGAGAAGTCATTGAATGATTCTCTCCCATCAAAAAAACACAAATAGTATCTAACTAAAATGTGTTATTGTTTTTTTTTATATTGTACATGGTTCATAATGATTATAATATTATAATGAGCCTGCTCATTAAAAACGGTTTACGACAAGGCGTCAAAAAGTGCAATCGGTATAACAAGGTGCAGATAATTTTTGTACATAATAAAAACTATTTGAACAGTTTCTTTGTAAATACTCGCAATATATTCCAAAACGTTGGTACACGTGCAGAAAGCAATTGAAATTCAATTTGGAAAACGCGCGCTATTCGTAAACTATGTAGTCCTGAAAGGAATTAAATATTCTAAGTTGATCTACAGAGTACACAAACGCGGCGCTCCCACTAACTGGATCTGTCGCTTCTCCTGTTTTCAATAAAGAGAAACAACTTGTGTCATATCCGCAAAACGTTTACTTACATAGTGGAGCGCAGTAGTTGGTAACGAGGTTATACGAAACAGTTTCGGGCGAAATTGCTCAGGGAATGTAGCTAGGTGTCATAAAGTTTCAGCAAAGCTGTCGGACAGACGTGTGCAGCGTTGAAATACACGTGTCGAAGCTGTTTCAACTTGCTTACGTTACAACGACGTATAGTACGACTATAGTACTAAGTGTTCCACTAATGAAGAGTTGCCGTGTTGCGCTCGCAAAAATCTAATTTCCAATATGTCCTGTTCTATACGTTAATTTTTGCTTATTTTATTACATTTCTGGTATTTGCACTCACGCTTGTTTTTGTTCTTTGCAGGTTGAACATGGATTGGAAGACGGTGCTCTGCACTTTTGCATTAGTTTACTATGCTGATGGGTTCTCAAGTAAGGACTTATTTTGATTCTACTTATATAACATCTACTTGTTTTTTATCATTAAGTTTAAATTAACGTGCTGCAAAATATAGATTTTGACAACTACGTACCAGAACGTGCAGCATTAATATAAACATTTCCTGTTATTACATACATGCGCAGTCTAATCGGCGTTCAGCCTTCATACCTGCGTAGCGAGGTGTCACTTGATATCATCTCTTTTAAACGATGTTCAGTATCTTCAGTATGTTTGACAGCCATACAGTTTTTCTGAAAGCACGTACGCACAGCCCCGAAATTGCCAAGAAATGGCTCGATTCCATTACCTAATGCTGGCGTAAACCGAGCATCAGACTTGCGGAGCTACAAAACAATGAGTTATGATCCTACCCGTGATGCCCTTTTTATTTGTGTATATTATTGCATGTAAAGTAGGCAATGGAATATTTTATTTCGGGGAAAATGACTTTTGTTCGTTAGCTTAAAATGTTTTATGTAACATTTTTGCGGTTTTGTTTATTTTGGCATATCTAACGGGAAACTGCGGTACGATAGCACTAGAAATAAAAAATTGTGTTAATTGGTTGAATTATCACAACTGTTATAAATACATAGGTACTACATGTGGTTAATGTTCCGCGTTGTACAATGCTATACACCTATTTGTTTTTATTTTGGAAACGTTGAAATAAACCATAACAATGATAAATAGGACTACATTATAAATTAAGGCATAAACTGCGGAAAATCTTGCGTTGAACCTCATTATTATTTCAAAGCAACGGCATTATTATCTACACGCGGTTTCCTCTCACAAGGAATATGATATGAATCTAGAAAGACTAGAACTTCCGCTTTTACAATCCGCTTTAAGACAACTGCAGTTGTCCCGTTTTCAAGTGATTAAAGTCGCATCTGGGAATTCAAGTAAACTTGTGAGTCTGGATTGAAAAGTTTTAAAGTACTTTCTAATATTCTGTTTCCCATTCGTAGAAAATCTTGAACTTCTACATACTGACGTAATCTTATACTTAAACATTAATACTCTGAAGTTCACTTGTTTGTTTGTTTGAACGCGCTAAGCCCAGGAACTACTGGTCCGATTTGAAAAATATTTTTTTTGTTGGATAGCCCATTTATCGTAGAAGGTTGTAGGCTATAAATAATCACAAAAAGATCTATTGAACAGAGCGGTTAATACCGCGCGGAAGTAGTACTAGTGTTAGATACGCATCAAAATTACATCTCAATGCGATGTTTGTTCGAAATTTTCGTTCCCTTCTGTATTGTTAGATAAAGTGCCCATCTACCCCATACCTGTACTACAAAAAACCTATTATGATAGAGTACATAAAACCTACGTAGTGGAAAACAATTCGATGGCAAAGTTTTTCGGTTCGGTAGGCTTTTATTACGTGTGATATTGACTCTCGAAGACGACGGCGAGTCCAATCTAAGTATATAATCTTGTATATGCAAATGATCCCTATTCCCTTACAACCGAATTCTTTACCCGGTCACGCCTTTTGGGTTATAAAAAGGCGAAATTCTCGTAGACACAGCGGAATAAAATATATTCATACGATATTATATGGAGTTTTTTTTTTTTCATTTTCAAACCCGTTACCTATCCAAATCCCTTTTATTATTCGAATAAACGGGCATGCAGACAATTGTAACGTTGCGTACTCGGTAGATAATGACACTAAGTTTAAAAAAAATATTTATGTCCTAGAAAAAGTTAATGCTTAGGTACTCTTACATCGGGAATTTACGTTAGAAGAAAATGGACCATTTCTTTGTTTATTTTGGTACATTGTAAAGATAATTTAGTAAATTGGGTCCGTTCTTCCGTTCTAAGTTCCATGTATTGCTAACAAAATTAATGTTTTTGTCAGTTTCTCCCTAAAATACCTTTTCTCCGTATCTGTTCGTGCGTAAACCAGAAACAAATTACGCAAGAAGTTTTAATTCAAAGAAGAAGAGTGGACGTTGCCAAAAATATACCATACCTCGTCTCCCATAAGACACCCGATATATTTTTCCCGCTTCTTTGAAATGTGACTAACCTTGGATGTGTAACGTAGGGCAATGATCGAGTAACCATAAGACTGTACGACTATAAACAAACTAACACTGCTCGCCAAAAACAAGTTTTTTGTATACAAAATATGCAAACATTTAGTTGAGAGGCTAATTAAAAACGTAATGATCCTGTGGCCAGTTCACTGATAAATCCATGCAGTACCTATAGTGCAGTTGTAAACTCGTGTAAAGACCATAATATTCCTTATTTGATTAATACCTACATGCAGTATTTAACTGGAAAATTCCACTTCAGACAATGTAGAAAGAAAACGCACTCATTTATTATGTCTGTACTCCTAAACTCGCAAAATAATTGATTTTAACCTTTTGATCGCTTGTTTCAGAATATGGACGAACCTGCAAGGACATCGGATGCCTCAACAGTGAGGTGTGCGTGCTTGCCGAGGACCCGTGTACCTTCGGTCACTCCACCAACTGTGGCACATACCCCACCTGCAAGAAGAAGTCTCAAGTAGAAGGTAAGCACTTTTGATAGATCCCTTGATTTTACATTGTAGCGACACTAATGTGTTGACATTTTTTATGCGTTCTCAAGTGCGTAGCTGCGCCTGCGGGGTCGCAGGCGCAGCTATAGCGTTAGCACGCCAGTCATCTCCCAGCTTTGGTGTTAACCAGTAATATTTTGTAATATTATAGATTAGTTGTGAATTGTGTATTTCTTAGAACAATATAAACACAAAGTTTTACCTATTTTATTTTGGACTTTCATTGAACACACGAACTTTTCTGGAGTCAAGTGAATTTAAATAAGAATACACACCACATTCTAAAACATAATTAAGGTCTTACAGTAAATACAGCAAATTTTTAAATTGTATGTATGTAATACAATTCCGTAATCTTTGTTTTAGGATCGCACGTGGAACCAGCTAAGCCACCTGCACCTAAGCCACCTACAAGAGACTTCGACAATCCTCCAAACTACAACCCACCTGCCCCTCCTTCTAGTGATACGTCCAGCGGTGGCCATTCACCTTACGGAGGCAGTTCCCCCTATGGAGGAAACTCACATAGCGGTGGTAACTCACCCTACGGTGGCAACTCACCCTACGGTGGAAACTCGCCTTACGGAGGAAGCTCTTCTAATGGCGGGAACTCCCCTTACGGCGGAAGCTCACCCTACGGCGGGAACTCACCTTATGGTGGCAATTCACCATACGGAGGCAGTTCTTCCTACGGCGGAGGAACCAATACTCGCGGAGGATCACCTTATGGCGGCAGTTCGCCTTATGGAGGAAGCTCGCCTTACGGTGGCTCTTCTAGCGGTGGCAGCAACCCATATGGGGGTAACTCTCCCTATGGGGGCTCGCACTCTAGCTCTGGCGGCTTCGGCAGCTTCGGCACTGGTGGTAGCGGCAGCCCCATCGACAGTATTTTGAACACTTTGAACAAATATGCAAACGGCGGAGGCGGCAGCGCAGGAGGCAGTACCGGCGGCGGTCTGTCCAATGTCTTTGGAAACCTTCTCGGTAATTTATCAAAGAACGGAGGCTTAAGCAACTTTTTCAACACTAGACCGATCATGGAAAATCCAAATTACTCCTCATACAGTTCGAATTCGAGGAGTTCTAACCCCCAATCTTACCCATCAGGATCTCAGCCCGCGTATCAGCCACCAACTCAGAACAAGAATTACGGACAAAGTTATGCGCACCATAACGCAGCGACCACGCGCAAGCCCGTCCACTATGGATGGAACGTTAGGTAAAATGTTTTCCAAGTCATTGTAGTTTGCGTGTGGCGCCTCTGGTTACTTTCTTTGCCCTGCACAAGCATTGCTTACAAACCCTCTGCACATACATGTTAATTTCCGTTAGCTTTGGCGTTACTAATTTACTTTGCCAATTATTTTCCGCTGCACAGTAACTTCGTATTTCACATTAGTGCAAACCTAATTTTACTGCTATATTTTAACAATTAATTCTATTATAAGAACAAAATATCAAATACACTGAAGGAACAAATAATTCAGAACTAATCTTAATTAATGTCACAGAACAAAGAAATGATAAATTCATTAGTCATTTAATTATAAATACTTATAAATATATAATGAATCTCAGAAATATGTACCTACTGTAAATATGGTGGAGGCTAATTTCTTATGATTGACAGGACAGCCAGAGACTTTCCAGATAACTTGGTATAACAAAACATTGCATGAATAATGACTGGACTATCGGTGAGGTATGATTGTACCCATCTCTATGAGGCTGTAACTTGTAACATTGTAATCTACATTAGGATGTACGCACATATTTTTATTTGCTGTATGATCTGTATTTTTCGCGCTAAGCTATTATAAGAATACTCATGTATATTTAATTTATTGCTGATTCGAATAGAAAGAGTTTTGTTGGGTTACAATCGAAAACTATATCCATCTACTATAGTTCGCTCAGCTCCGGCTCGAAGTGCAGGAGTAGGAGCGGGGTGGTTTTTAGTCAGTAAGAGTCTGGCACTCCCCTGCCGCCTCACCCAGGCGGAATAAGTCATTCGATGACTTTCCCCCTTAAAAAAACTATAGGTATATGTTGCCACAACTCTCAAAACGCCTATACCGATTTTGATAGTTTTTTTGCACTAAATTTTGTACCCAACAAAGAGCTTTCTACATCAGATTATACTCATAATGCATCACAAATATAAGTGCCATTTCTAACATTGTTATATTGTATTTCCTTTCAGTGTGACAGTGGTCTTGACGTACCTGATACAGCAATATATCCAGAGTATGATTCGTAATTAATTATATTTTTTGTTTAACTTTTAAGTTATAAAATTTTAATATTTTAAGCGGTTCAGTGTTGTTAAACATGTATTTTAAATAAGCTTTTAAATGAAAATATATTCATGTTGTTGAGTGCTACGGATATGCGTCAATTATATAAAAGAAGACATGTTAAATAAATCAATTGATCGTTATAAGTCGCTTTGGCGTTCAACGGGTAAAGCATTTGTGATAAACATTTATCTATGAAAGCAGTAAGATTTAAACAAAATCATTTATTTTAAACACACTAAAAATGTATTTAAAACTTTATGTATGTTTACAATAAAACACATTTTCCAATGTTGTATATTTATATTGATTAAAAAATATTATAACCTTTATAAGTATAAGTCCAAGTTCAATAATATTCGACACAAATTCGTCTTCGAGTATTCAAAATGTACTAGAAATTAAACCTATTAAAATTAAATCTATGGAATGTATAGAGTAATTAAATTCAGTTGTAAACCTAAAACCCACGATTCCCAATAAATATTACTTACAATATAATTTTGAAAAATAATTTAACTATTACTAAAATAATGAAAAATGGATATTATTATTATTAAGTTGGAATGCATAAGAACCGTCCACAACAGGGAATTGACTTTAAGTATATTCTGGAAAGTTCCTTGGACACCTATTCCAGAAAATCTAGCTTCAAGAACTTCGTCGGACCGCAAAGCGAGCGACGACTAACATCTACTAACACTTACTAAGTTACCATAATAAGTATATTGTTACAATAATTTCTACCAGGCACCAAGTGCTATAAAAAATTGTGAAAATATATTCCAATTTCCCACCAATAATCTCAAATAAATATACTTTTAAAAAACGTATGTTGTACGGTACAATATGATAATCGTCATTTAAAAAAGATAAAAATCGGACATATTTTGTTTTAACAGTGCTTTAGCAAAAATTTGTATCTATGCTTGCAATGCCGAAGTGAACGGGTTATTTTATCTAAAGGTCTTTGAACAGCGAGATACTAATTTTCGATATATTTTTGTCCGATAAAAATACTAAGATACACACTGTATGATTATAAAAACTGTGCCGTAGTAAAGACCTCTCTATCTTGACAATGTACAAAGTACAAAGTCATCATTATTTTATAGCAATTGCGTGCATTGCATTAATTAGGAATGAATCACGATGCAATAATAAATATGTTATTCGTATTTTGCACCGTAAGTATAATTGGGTACTTTATTTAATCAAAAATAAATTATTTCGACTGTTCAATACAATAATGTATTAAAAATAAAATAGTTACTAATCACATTTTCATTTGATTTTATGGCATACTTAGTTGTCCAGCATTTTTTAAGAAATAAGTAAGTTATTTGACGCTAAAAAAACGTGACGTCAATACACAATCTCGTAAAAAATTCATAAAAAATATACATAAAATGTCGTTGTTGACAGTTCGAAAATAATTGAATTTGACTTGTTGGCAAGTACCCAATTATTTTGCTGTAGGTATAGAAAAACTCGGTGCTATCAAATATAACTATAACCAATATGTTCACATAGTGCTATCTTCTAAGATAAATAAAATTAATGTCATTGAAATAATCAAGTCTTGCAGCATACACGAATCGTGTTTTGTTCCTAACAACAATTGTACATTTGTCGATAAATATTGTTATAAACTATGAAATAACACTTATATTCGAATTGAGCTAACCATGATCGAGGCCTTAGTACGAGTTTCATTTTCGTTTAGAGTAATCGAAACGAGACGGCGTTCGGCGCACTGATTGGCCGGCGCCAATGAACCAACCAATCAGAATGCCGAACGCGTACTCGTTACGATTACTTTAAACGTAAAAGACACTCGTACTAAGGCCTCTCAGGTACTATATTAAATCAGTTGCTTACAATTTTTTGTTTTGTTTCAATCTCATCGTTAATCTTACGTGGTCGTTTACTTCTATGCAACTTGTTTAGTACGATTCCTAATATAAGGAAGGCGAGCCATACTCCGTACCAATAGTGGTATACCGATGAATAGTATATCCAAATCCGATCGAATGTAAGGAGAAGGAATGCTGCAGCTTGGTACGACTCCGAATGTGAACGCAGGAACCACATTATGAAGCCGAGGATTTTCTTTTTCTGTAATAAGAGATATTGTTGGCAATGTTTTATGGGAGATACATATTTATTTGATGCCCCTGTTAAAAGAAAAAGAAAATATTTAGAATTCTGTTGCTCTAAAGATAGGGCGAAATTTACTTATTGTGAAGAATATACCATTTGTGCGGTCTGCCCACGAATGGCATGTGCGTACCTGCGTAAAACAAATGCACGCACGCAGTTTATCGTGTAACACAGACGGCAAAATAAGTAAATATTTTTTATCTTTGTTCGTAAACATCGAGTATATGATTTTCTAAAGCCTGGTATTGGTTTTTCTAAAGGTAAAGATTATTCTCACCTGTCCTGTAGCATCTTTATAATAGAGCTTGTAGTAGATATCTTCGGCCATCACATAGAATGGACAGAAATATATGCAGAAAAAGTAACCAGCGTGGTATCCATGCCAGATCACAGACACGAATAATGCTGCGTGAATCCTGGAATATATCAAAATAAATATTTTTATTAACTCGTCGAGTACCGGTTTTATAGACACAATTAAAGAACAATAGGTCGGTCACCGGTGACCGCTTGGTGTGTGACAGTTTAAACTCTTATACTGCGAAGTATTGACAAACTAAATTGGTATTTGTGTATTAGTTGCCTACTATTAGATATCATTTCATGATCAATTCATATCAGATTATGCAAAAGTTTGTAAAAAGAAGGTTTATTTATATTAAAAAAATTATCTCAGGAACAGTATGGTTCTCATGGGATATATCAACATGTGACAACATAATGACAAATGCTTGTGCATTGCAAAAATAAATCAATCAGTCTTCTATTTATGATACTTACTTCAAAGGCTTTATGGGGAATCTCTTGTACACCACCATGGCTACCCAGTATTGCACGGCCTTGTTCCATACTTTCATAGAATCTCGTAGCGTAACCACTGTCTCACATCCCCACACATCCATTGACTCAACAGTGTTGAAATCATATTGACAATTCTTTGCTTCTTCGTCTGACCTGTAAATAAAAGGCAATTTTAATTATGTATTTAATAAATTTGTCTGTAACTGGTATCAATAAAAGAAATAAAATATCATTAATTACGTTTACGAGGTCATTGTGCCGATTGTATGTTAATTTATTATAACAAATAAAAATTTATGAGCACAATAAAAAATTAAAGTGATGCATAAAAAGAATTATATAACACAGGTAAAACCTTTAGGTATTTTTTTTAACATAGGGATAAGAATTGCAAAACAGTTACAGGTTTTTAAAGAAATCTTGCAGAAATGAAGGCCACCGTTATCCTTCTCTTGAACTTAATGACAATAAGAAAATAATTTAATAAAGTCTAGCACACAATATATTCCTATATCATTCATCATTTTATTCAAGGATAAAGGATTGACATACATCTGCTTCAACTTCAAATAACCAACAGTAGGTCCATGGCCTGTCCGATTCTTGCCCTGCACAGGATGCTCCAAAACCAGCCGAAGTGCACACACTCTCAGCCAAAGTCATCCCAGAGTATATGCGCTGACGAAACGCGGAGAATAGCGCCCATGGATACAGCATTCGGTACACAAAGTTTCTATTATTATGGTCTTCTGTTAAAATGTACTGGAAAAATAAATATAACAAAAAAGAATTACGTAATTCAAGTATTCATAATGTGTGAGCTGATAACTATTCTAAAATTCAAAAATGTTTCAATAATCTTTTAATTAGCATAAAATTATGGACAAGCAAGCTACTGTGAAAATTAGTTCTTTGTATTTAATAATTAGTATTTTTTATATGCAAATGTTTAGTCATAGCATAAAATTATGATGATGTGTTATGTAATAGGAAAAATTATTATCAACAATGATGATGATGAAAGTTTTAATATGATAAAGAAGCATGCTTACCTCTAGGGGCCAAATGTTAGATAAAGCCAAGTACAATGAGACATAGAGAGGGACCATTCTCATAGTGTTGATGGTAAAGCCAAAACAATCAACATACTTGCTATACGGCAGGCGGAAGTAGTCATCAAAGGTCCTATATCTGTAGTAGGGGCCTGGAATGTTATCATAAATAATTAAATATTAATATTTATTTATTCAAGTTCAATTTTTATATCCCATATTTCAAATAATTTCCCTGCTTCACCAGTCTATCTTTTCATAAAGTACCAACTTGATAAGTGCACATTAGGAATTTAACTCGTCGAGTACCGGTTTTATAGACACAATTAAAGAACAATAGGTCGCGGTCACCGGTGACCGCTTGGTGTTTGACAGTTTAAATAGTTTTCTTCATTGGATAAAGTGGTTCTCGCTAATTGCAACTAGAATCTTGATAAGTAAAGCTATAGGTTGAAAACCACAGTGCTAGATATTAGAACAAACAGGATAATTTATTTATAATACAATACAACATCAAGTCACCTGTAAGAAGTCCAATATAATTGAAAGAATAATGAAATAAATCTTGAAAATCAGGATTAATTATTTCAAGAAAGTCATCATCTTTCACTTTTTCTTCTTTTTTCTCTTTGATCTCATCCTTTTTAGCTTTTCCTACAGCCAGCCAGGAGCCATTGATTTCAAATGCAACTCCCACTACACGGAGTACTATAATCATTTCAATGAGGTTTGTTTGTCCTGAAGATAGTGGAAAGCCGAATTTATCAGCGAGCCGAAAGAAGAATAGATATCCAAACATCAAAAAGAAAGTGACTACATGGCAGTATCTGAAATAAAAAAAAATAATTAAAAAAGCAAGTAAGAAGAAATGATTCAACAGAGATAAAGTAGCAGATAAAATAAATTATAGTGTTGCATATATTGATGTAAACAAAACATAATATTACACAGCGGTCAAAGGTAAAAGATGAAATAAAATTAATGACGAGGAAAATTAAAAATAAAGCACAAGACTCACCTTACAGTCGCCGCTTTAATAGCGATTATTCCCATAAATGCAGACAAAATAGGGTGAAGAGCACTGTATCCAGAAACAATAATTATTAGCAGTAAACCAAGTATACTGCCAGCCCATTTCTTAGCCTGCACTGTTTTCAAAGCCCGGTAACGAGGCCCTACTCCTATACAAAACAGCAACAGTGATAAATAAATAATGTCATTTCTGTTCTTTGTAAGAAAAGAAAACATCTTGCTGACTTAATTTTACAGCAAAATGAACAAAAATTTATTTCAGCCAATATTCACTAATAAAACAACTTTCGGTCGCAACATCAAGAACATCAACAACGCAAAGAAAAGAAACCAATGACACTAATGACATGACATCATGACAGTTTGGTTGGCTATCTGTCTGACATTCACAACACAACATGGTTTGTCAATCTCAAAAGTTCAGAAACAAGAAATGGTTGTGAAAATGGAAAACATGCAAAAAATTTGCTTATAGGCTAGTTACAATTTTTACCTTTATATAAAAATTATATGTTTTGTGTGTGTGTGTGTGACTTTAGTCACGTGTGATATTGAAGAAATAAATCTTCTTTTCTACTTTAATTTCTGAACGAAACAGAAATGTAGTATAGATGTAGATGACGATTTTATTGTTCGTGTCACGTATGTCACTGTCAATGTCAAATAAAGATTATTGATTTGTTTCGTGTACGAATTTGGAGTATTTCATTCCAATTTATTTAAAAACACAAAATAATCAATGGAACATATGGTTATAGTCCCATAAATCGATAGGCTGAAGTGGTAAAAATGAATGAAGAAGAGAAAACAGCGATAATACAAAACCTTAACCTTAGGGTAGGGAATGATATAAATGATTTAAAAAGTACATTACAAATACAGGCTGAATTAACAACCAAACGAGATTTACTTTTAAAGAATGTAAGTATTTTTTTTAATCAGTTTCACTATATGAAACACTGGCCTATCCGGTACTCTTGTTTTACTTTTAAAACATGGTTCTTAAAAATATCAATTTGCCAGTCATATGTATATATTCTTTATAAACACTTAATTTTACAGCTGAATGCAGCCAACAATGAAGTGCCACAAAAACTAGCGGCCGCTTTAGAAAAGGCAGAATTGAATTCCAGTCACATAGACAAATTAAAAAGTAGAAGTGATGAGCTCAAGAAGAAAGTTGAAACATTCTTGAATAAAACTGAACCATTGAGAAATGAGTTTGATAAACGTTTTGCTGCCATCAACAAATTGGAAGAGGTTTTAATTTATTTGAAATCATTTGAAAAAATTGATGACTTGAGGTGGGTGTAAAACATTTTATTCAATTTAAATATGGTCCTAAATCTCTTTCTTATGAATGAAGGTCCCAATAGGTTAATTATATTTTTAAGTAACCATAACTAATCAGTCATAAAAGAATTGATTATGTTTATATCATAACTTTCGTAAGACATAGATACTAAATACATTATTATGATTTCGGCGAACTCACATAATGGTTTGATAAGGAACTTGACTAGTTTCAAGCCATGCTAGAGGTTCATGAGCAGCAATCCACCACACGTGACAGGTGGCTGTCGTGCTGCTACTGCTAGTAGAGTTCTGCGTCAAACAGTTGAATATCATATTGATATATCAAATTTAGAATATATGTTCATACAAAAGTAGTTGCTATACATAGGAAATAAGGTCTATAATGGAGTTTGTGGAGAGTGGTCACCGGTGACCACTTGGGGATTGAGCAGTTAAGAATTGATTAATTGTCTAACTCAGTGCTGGTATTCTCACCCAATGAATTAATGACCAAGGTAAATAAAAAATATATTTAAACATTACTTTTGTTGCAGTAAGCAGATGAAACAGTCCAATGATGATGAGCAGTTGGTCCTGTTGTACTCAGAGCTCAAGAACATGTGTATACAGTACCAGAAAGGCCACAGAGCCAGCTATGTGAAGGAATATACACATTACTGGCATAATGTGCTGAAGGAGAAGCTTACTAAGTAAGCATGATTATTTGTATACTTATCATTTATCAAAGTAGCATTCAAATTTTTTTTTTATTGAAAACAACAGCTTGAAAGGTATCCTGGTGTTGTGGCTACTTTGCATAGTAGATTTTATCCTTATGCCTTAAACACATAACATAACATCACACCTTTTATGGTGCCATAGGTGCACATTACGACACGTAATACCACTGTACAATATAACACCCACTTTTCACTATTTATGTTATGAGTCCCATGTACTAGGGGGTGAGCCTATTGCCATATACCGGGCACATCTCCAGAGTCCGTGCTACTACTGAGATTTTTAAAAACCCAGTAATACTTTGACCGACCCGGGAATCGAACTCTGGACACCTTGCCCGGTAGTCGCACTTGCGACCACTCGGCCAACTAGGCAGTCGTTAAAATATCAATTTTAAATAATAACAACAGCTAGAAAGGCACCCTGGGGTTGCGGCTACTTTGCATAGTACATTTTCACCCTTATGCCTTAGTGGTAAAGTAGAAAATCTACTATCCTTTTTCTCGATATGTTAATTGTAGATAGTTATGTTGTGCTTAACGTTTTATGATTATATCCTAAGTCTGTCCCTTTATTGTGTAACTATTTGGTCTTCCATAATGACCTAATCCAAATAGTTCAAAAACATTGACTTGTGCAAGTTCTATTTTGTAGCTTATTAACAAAATTAATAATCTTTCAATAAAACAAAAATATCTATTACATACCTATGTATTAAAATACTGAGAAGTTAAAGCAGCTAACATGGTTATACTACATCTAAAAATTGTAGAAAAATTGTTTTTTATTAGTAACCTATGACTCTTCTTTTACAGAAACTATGAAGATGTACTGAAGCTCCTAAAGTGGCCATTCTCAGCCCCACCAGAGAATCCACCGGCACCCAAAGAAGTTATGGTGAAGTTCAGCAGCCTCACCAAGTACCTGTTCCTTATTGAAGAACCTGAGGAGTTAGTGAACAATAATGTTACTACAGAAGACTGGCAAGGTAACTAGTGTTCAAAGTGTTGTAGAATTTTGGTTAAGATGTTTTAGTGTGCTTATAAATAGGTTTAAGGTGTGTTGTGAATCTACATCTATACATCTGTATATTCTCAACACACCTATACAGATGTATAGATGTAGATAATATTATTTATCTAAATAATATTAGAGTATATGTGTGTAATATTAAAATAAATATCTTTTACTACTTGCTAAATAAGTATGCATAGGTATGATATGCATACCAAAATAACATTTTTTTTTAATTTTTGTCTGTCTGTCTGTCTGTTTATAATGGCTAATCTCTGGGATGGGTGGACCTATTTTGCATGACTTTGGCAGGTAGCTGATGTACTAAGGAGTAACACATGCTACTTTTATTTCGGAAAATTGAATGTCTATATTAGTATGATTCATAAACAAAGATTTTAACATTTTAAGTTTTTATAATCATGGGGTTCCACTTTAAAGTTTAATTTATGTGGTTTTTCATTACAAATTATGTTCAATACTTTTAGCTTTCAATGCCATAGAATAGAATAGTAATCTTTATTTCAGGCTCAGAGCTCATAAACGGTTAGTAACAATTTACTTATACAACTAGTGTTAGTAACACAAACCATAGCTTACCATTATGTTAGTAACTAAGACAGCTTCATATTCAAACAAGATAGATATATTTTTCCTTTAATTTCCTATTCGTGTCCACAGAAAAAGGTCCATGTCTGCCAGTAAGAGTGTTACTAAGACCTCTCAAAAAGAGGTTTCAGTTCCACTTCACGGGCTCACGGCAAACAGCTCGCATTGACAGACCGGAGTGGTTTCTTACACAAACCCTCACTTGGATCAAAAACCATCAAGGTTTTGTGAGGCATCATGTCCAGCCCATCGCTGATAAACTTGAACTGAAACATGTTTATGCAGTGGTAAGTTTGAAATTTACCTACCTACTTAGTAAGTTTATACTCTTAAGTCTCTTCTCTCTTAGACACGACAGACACGACCGATACGACAGATACGACCGACACGACAGATACGACATATACGACAGACGACAGATACGACCGATACGACAGATACGACCGACACGACAGATACGACATATACGACAGACACGACAGATACGACCGATACGACAGATACGACCGACACGATAGATACGACAGATACGACCGACACGACAGACACGATCGACACGACAGATACGACATATACGACGGACACGGCAGATACGACAGACACGACAAATACGACAGATACGACCGACACGACAAATACGACCGACACGACAGATACGACCACAGAACATATAAAGAAGGCTAGAAAGGAAATAGTTCCTGATTTGTATTAGAACACGCGTCGCCGTTTGTCCCCCACTCTTTAACTTTACTACAAGCAAGAGACCAATACCTACGCGGAAAATGCACACAAATAAACAACACGCACTAGGTTAAAAGATTTGTTATTGGTTGTCACACTGACGCAATCACTTCGTTTGACATACACTAATACAGGCGTAAAAAACTCATATATGGTAGGGGGAGCGAAAGGTCGATTATTGATATCGATAAAATTAATGGCATCTAGCTTCTTAATTTACATGTATTGCGGACTATGCGGATTTGTATAAGGCATATTGTGTACATGTATTTACGTTAATGTAAACAACTATACATAGACAAATACATAACTGATATTTAAAATCAATTACATTATTAACATTAAAATAATATGACATGAAATTATAAGTAAATTGTTGATTGGTAGTAATCAAAAAAGTATAAAAAACCGAAAAGGTATTATTTCGATTTTGTTTTGTTTTCAACTGTAAGTTTTATAAAAATAAAAGGAGTCCGGGAAGTCATGGGATCAAAAATAATAGATTTTTACTTAATTCAAAATATAAAAAATACCGTAATTTCTCCCTAAGGAATGCAAAGTCATAAAATAATGAAATATTGAGAATTATCATAAAGTAACCATATCATGATAATATCTAATCTGTGCTCAAAACTCTGTTATTGTCTCTGTTAGATATCATCATGACATTCGTATGATGACAACCGATAATCGTCGTTCGTATTTCTTTAATAGTTAATATAAATAGGAAACAGGAATAGAAAACCTCAACAACTATTTTAAATTATTGACTAAGATTTCGGCTGGCTTTTAAGAATTTCTCATAGTTTCAACTATTTACAATTTGGGCCTAAGCATGTATGAAAGAGTATCCATCTTACGAAAAATGATTTAGATGTCGCTTAGATGATATCAAGGTAGAAATGTAAAATAAAATTTCCTAAATCATAAAATCAGTCTACTTACTGAACAAAACATAACGAACACATAAAAAATTATATAAAACTGAAATACGAATAAAATGCCTCACTTAAAACCTATTTCATAATTAGTCGTAATAAATAAAATTATTTTAGTTATAATGTGTATAATTTGATAATAATCCTTTGTATCATAGTAATTATCGACATTGTTTACAAATTGACACTTCTCTATATCGATTCGAGGAAATGACGTTTTGATTTGATACTCGGGACTCTCGTTGTGAACGTAATACATTGCGCGATCGTTTATGTAGTGCAAAATGGTACGTGTCTATTGCAAGCAACGTATACTGCTTGCGATAATGTCGTTTTTGTCTAGAAACGTCATAATATTAATGTTATAATTACAAATATCACAAGTATATTAATGTTTTTGGAGTCACTGGTGGAAAGAAATCCCTTCTCGTGATACATTGCACACCTGACTTCTTTTCCGACACATTACAATAGTCCAAGACGGCATAATTTAATATTATTTGCGGAGTTTCGTACGCTGTCACAACAACATAGCGTTTGATGGCCGGTTTTTGACATTTTGGTAGATTTGGAGTATTTGGTCATAACGGCGGCACGCGTGTACCGCCCACAAGGCCGTTCTATCCTCCTTTATATGTTCTGTGGATATATATATCTGTGGATACGACCGACACGACAAATACGACAGATACGACAAATACGACCGACACGACCAATACGACCGACACGACTAATACGACCGACACGACAGGTACGACCGACACGACTTAAACGACAAATACGACCGATACTATAGATACGACCGACACGATAGATACAACCGACACCACCGACACGAAAAATACGACCGACACGAAAAATACGACCGACACGACAGATACGACCGACACGACAGATACGACTGATACGACTGATACGACCGATACGACAGATACGACCGACACGACAGATACGACTGATACGACTGATACGACCGATACGACAGATACGACAGATACGACGGACACGACAGATACGACGGACACGACAGATACGATCAATACGACAGACGATATACAAACAGAATAGAACAATAAAAATCCACATTGAAAATATAATTTTATTGGGCTTTATCTGTATAATCAATTTGACACTACGCTAAACTAGCTGTGACACTTTACAGCTAGTATACTTATTTACGTATACAATACCTTCAACAAAATATTTTTTTACAGGACGAATTCAATGCGGGCCTAATTGCGTTAGCAGCAGAGAGACTCCACACTGTACTAGCATTGTATCACACACAAAGTTCTAAAGGCGAAATAGTCGACGTGGATGCGGCATTTGCTCACGCCGTGGACGAAACACTAGGCTTTCATAGAGAACTAGTAGAAATCACTGGGAGAGATATCAATACTGTGCTTTCGGTGCTGACTAAGGTGGAAACATTCTTAAGGTGGCAAACTGTGGAGAAGAAATGTAAGTTTAAGACTTATGTGTCCAAATACTCAAACGCTGCTCAATATTAAGACGCGTTCTTAAATAATATAATCCTGTCACTACAAATTCTTAGTGAAATGATAGAGATGGCACGATATTTAAATACAACTTAAAATTTAGTAGCCTTTCAGTATTCGATCGTTAATGCGGCCTAACGCGCGTGAATTTGCATTTTCATTTTAAACTGTCAAACACCAAGCGGTCACCGGTGACCGCAACCTATAGTTCTTTAATTGTGTCTATAAATACGGTACTCGACGAGTTAAATCACTCTATTTATTAATAAAAACTCGCATCATAAAAGTTGCGTCGTTTTAAAAATCTTAGCATACGAAGGGAGCGGGAAGTATGATATTCGTTTTTCTTTAACACAACATCGGCTGACAGTGGCGCCAACTAGTGAGCAAAAAAATGATAGTAATTGTTTGTAATTATTCCGAAATAGAAAAGGCATGTTGTTTTAATCAATCGACTGATCAAACTCGACTACGCCTCACACTCGATCAACAATAACAATCTGGAAAGTTCTACACTCTAAATTGAACTCTAAGTACATAAAATCAAACACTAAAAATATTAATTATTATGTTTTTGGCTTACTCACGTAACAGTTGGACAAGGAACTCGACTAGTTTCAAGCCATGCTAGAGGCTCATATTCATGAGCAGCATTCCACGACCCGCGGAATAATTTAGTATGTCTCACGGAAGTTTTAATTATAAACTAAAATTATTTTCTCCAACAGACGCTCTAGCAAAGATGGACGAAATCCTAGAGTCTCCTCAATGGAGCGAAGGAGTGGGATCGGGTGCAGGGGCAGCCACGGGCGCCGCGCTATGGATACCACGCGCCGCCGACTGGTTCGTCACGCTACTGCGGACTATTGAGGACAGATACAAGTTACTACCACAACCGGGACATAGGTGAGTGTGATAAACCATATGAAATTCGTTTGGTGCTTTTTGCAGACTACAAAATAGTAGGATTCTCAGCTTTACCGAATACCGACCAATTGGCATGTCCGTATACTGATCTAAATCATAGTCAAAGTCAAATTATTTAGTTCAAATGAATATAAAAGTGAATTTTGAATGTCAAATAACAAAATTACAGCCATAACTGTTTTTTTGTTCTTTTTTTTCTTACAATGTTACATGTATATCAAAACTCCCACACAATCATTGGTATTGATGAATTTTAATTAGATATCTGAAACAAATCACATTAGAAAACTTCACAAGTTAAACTAAACTAACTCCTATATCCATTCCCATAAAGGCTAAACTTCCTCGAGCTACAACTAGAGCTAGTAGAAGAATGGCGTATCCGTCTAACTCAGTTGCTCAGCGCTGGACTAGATTCCCTCCACGTGGACTCCTTCCTATCACCGGACTCGACATCACATCCAGTAACAGCTGTCATCAATGCTGCTCATCATACTATGACTGTATTGCTGCAGTGGGCGCATTCTTTGGTAAGTGTATTTTATTCAAAACTAGCTTTTACCCGCAGCTTCGCTCGCGTCACAAAAGAATAAAAAGTAGCCTATGTGACATATACCAATACACACAGCGCCATCTATACCAATACTTTTGTTTTTCCTCGTGAATATCAATTTTTCCGGGTTAAAAAGTACCCTATTAAGTATTTAATCCGGACTTCTAACTTTACGTCTGCAAAAAATTTTAAGTAATCGGTTGAGTACTTACGGCGTGAAGGTGGAACAAACAAACTCACTTTCAGATTTGTAATATTAGTAAGGATAGTAATTTTAACATCACTAGAATTTTAAGAAGTTCTAATATTAGATGTAACTGTACCCTTCTTAAATGAAAATCGAATGCAAACATATTCTTAGCAATGCAAATAGCTTTTGACATGAGATTTATCATCGGATTACTTAATGTTTGCATTGGCCAGACGGCAGGCACAGTTCTGTTAATAGTCCCATCTTATACTATTATATTAAGCGGAAGATTTTGTTTTTTTGTTTGTTTGTTTGAACGCGCTAATCTCCGTAACTACAAGTCTGATTTGAATAATTTGTTTAGTGTTGGATAGCGCATTTATCGAGGATGGCTATAGGCTATAAAATACGACCAATTGGAGCTGAGCAGAGCGTGTGAAACCGCGCGAAAGTAGCTAGTTACCATATAAAGAAAAGACTGTTGAATATCAAAAACAATTCTAGACTCGAAATCCAAAAATCCAACACAAGAATCAAATCAAAGGTTACATCATCCATACTTGAAAAACTTATATTTGTCCGTAAGCCAATTTATTGAAATCTTATCATGTTTACCTACTTTCGTAGCAATTACTTTTCCAATAAAATATTAAACATTTTATGTATCATCAACAGCATTACCTGCAACTACATTTCTACCGACGTCAGTTCCACAACTTCACTCAGCAACAACACCATGACGAGGAGTTCAGTGAGGAAACCACTGATACCGACTACACTGAGTCTGATGAAACACCCGTCAAGAAGCATAAAGGTTAGACTCCAATGTGGTATTTATTTAGTTGTGTTTTAAGGTTTATTTTTGCATGAACGCTTTAATAAAAACCTATCAAGAAGCACGAAGGCTATTTTGGAATGTGATCTGTGTATCCTTGCGTTTAAGGTTTATTTTCCTATGAACGTGTACATAAGGCAGTCCCATGCATGTAAGATTAGGAGATTTTAAGTGTGGGAGAGCCATGCTTCGGCACGAATGCGCCGGCTTGACCAGAGTGATACCACGGCCTCACAGAAAACCGACGTGAAGCAACGCTTGCGTTGTGTTTCGTCGTGTGAGTGAGGTTACCGTAGGCCCAATTACCCTCTCCTTCCCCAATCTCCCCAATCCCTGAATTCCCAACGATCCTCAAACTCCTAATCTACAAAAGGCCGATAACGCACTTGTAACGCCTCTGGTGTTCCAGGTGTCCATGGGCGAAGCCGATTGCTTACCATCAGGTGATCCGTCTACTCGTTTACGGCTTATGCAATAAAAGAAAGATTACAGAACGGTATGCGGTGGTATAATCTCCACCATTCAAGCGGGTTGTTTATAGCAGTTTAAATCTTATTTAGTCGTCCATATTTTAGTCCATCAATATTCTGCAATGATGCTGTATTGTTTCAGAAATATCTGCGCATGCTCTATCTTTAATGGAAGTGGAGTTACAAGCGAAGAACTTGGCGCTCAGTGAGATGTCCCGGAGAAACTCATTAGTCGTCGAACTGAACCAGTATGACATAGTGAGTGTGAAACGAAAGGTTTTATCCTTAATAAAATAATTTTGCAGTTCCAACTGGAATAACTTACTACTTACATATTGGTATTAGAAATTAGACATTAGATTCAAGTTAAAACATTGTTTTATGTCACATCAATATAAAAGTAGTCAATATAAAAGTTAGTGACATTAATTATTATGTTTTCGACCATCGACATATACTAATGGACATGCCGTACGCGTATAATCTTCAGTATTTTTTGGTTTGAAAGAGTGAGGGAGATGGCCTTTGCTTTTGGTCTAGCGCTATCTCTCATACCGTCTTAACTACGGTACTATTTTGAGAAAGATAAAGATAGACCGAAACTTCGTTTCCTCTCTTTCTTTCGGAGTGCCACAATTCTCATCTCTAAGGCATGTCCATTAGTATATGTCGATGTTTTCGAGTTGCTCACGAAACTGTTTGACAAAGAATTCATTATTTGACAATCGAGTTGTTTTACCACGTTATAAAATTTTAAACAATATAATTTTATTTGCAGACAATGCCAATAGCAAATCCAGCAGTAGCCGAGCCTTTAACAGGTGAAGACGAGGCGGAAGAAGCAGGCGTGTTCGCTGAAGCTCCCGCGTTACTTGCTCGTCTGAGAGACAGTGGGCTCGCGTCTCTAGCTGAACATATACTGCTCGAGTTCAAAGCTGGATTGAAGGACTATAAGCGGCAGAAGTAAGTTTCTAGAGAATAAAGATAATTTTTTTTCTTACTTTCTTTCTATAACTGATTAAACCAAAGGTCTCGCAGTTAGTTGATCAATATTTATTTTTTCTAGTGAATTTTGTTACTAAGACGTTTGTTAAAAAAATATATTTTATTGAATGAGTATTTTTATAGAAGTATATTTTTAAATTGTTATTCTTGCTTAAAAATATTGCGTTCACATTTCTTTCTGGAGTTTAAAGAAGGTTTAATCTGAATTTCTACACCAACCTCATAAGTAAGCCTACCTACACCTACCAATTGATTTTGCCCTTTGTATTAAAAATCTTATGTAACCTTATCTTTCGTTATTTTTTAAAAATTTAATACATATTAAACAAGCATTCCCCTTCCCGTCCAGATGGCACAGCCTCGTAGTAGTAGAGCAGCTAGCACTATGCGTGTCTAGTTCCCTGTGCCGGCCGCTGGCGGCGCTGTGCGCGCGGCTGGCCCGCGCCGCGCACTCGCTCGCGCCGCCGCTCACGGCCAGGCTCAGGGCGCATCTCGCTGACATCGTCGATAATTATATTTTTGATGTAAGTAACAGTAAAATATAATTTAAGAGCTTCAGCCAGCAACTTCGGCCGCGTTCCCGTAAGATAAAAATTAGCCTTTATGTGTTATTCCACACCTTAATCGACACCTGTTCTAAATATCATCGCGGTCTCTTCAGTCGTTTTAATGTGAAGGAGTAACAGACATGTAAACGTACAAACCAGGGTTGTTGCAAATATCAGCATCAGCATCAGCATCAGCGGAATATCAGCACTATTGTCCACATCAGCATCAGCATCAGCATCCGCATTAATTGTTGCTGATGTTCAAAGTTCGTGTCGCGACATGCCCGGCAGTGGGCGGAGTTAATGGCACGTGCCGCAGTAGCTTCCGAGTTTTGGCCAATCAAAATACATATATTTCATAACAAATCGTCAATCAATATTGCAAGCATTGCAAGCAAAATGCAGTACCTATCCTGTCACCTCCGCCTGCAAGCGTCCCTAGCGCACAGTTATTTAGCAGTGCCGGCATTATATACAAACCTACCCGCAACAGACTGCAAGCTGAAAAAGCAGCTCAGTTGTAGTTTTTAAAATACAACTTGCCGTTAATAGATTTCGAATATTATATTAATAATTTATTACTTCACTAGCTTTTACGTATTTGTTGATTCTTTAAAGTTATAGAATTATTAAAATATATCTTTCATTAAAAATAGATCGATGAAAATATAATATTTACCTACCTAAAAAATGTATAAAATTAAGTAGGTATAAAAAACCTTAAAATCAGCATCAGCTGATGTAAATTACAATAAATCAGCATCAGCATCCGCTGATGTAACAAAATCCTGCATCAGCAACAACCCTGGTACAAACTTTCGCATTTATTATATTAGTAGGATTTGGTTAATGGTAATATTTTGTTGAACAAAGCAATAGATTAAAATTGTTTAAATTTTCATCTAATAGCAGATGTCATTTTTATAATGAATACAGCTTTTTTATCCATATAATAAAATGTCTTTTTGGGCTTTAAAATTTCATAATATTGTGATAATAGTAATAGGCGTTACATAGCCTAATACTTTCTGAAGGGGTAGACATGAGTCCCATGTTTATTTTGGCCGAACTTTTGGTTCCAAAATGACACTTAGTACCATATAATACGACCCATTTTATTTGTCCTCTTAATTTACTTGTTGTTTAATCTCTTTGTAGGAGATAGTCCTGGAGAGTTGGTTCAACACGGGCGGTACGATGCAGTTCACGTATGACGTCACAAAGAACTTGGTCCCTGCGTTCGCTCCACCCAACAAAGTGGCTACGGAAGTCTATCAGTTACCTCGGTGAGTAGAACCTATTTGATAATGAAAATACTGATTAATACTGAAAATTTTGAGACATTTTTAGGTAGTAGTAGGTTATCTATACATCCAACTGAAAAGTTAACTCTCATCAGAGTGCCAAACATGAATAACTATCGCATTCGCAACGTAATAGAATCGAGCGCGTTCGGCGCTCTGATTGGCCGGCTCAAGTGAACCAGCTTACTCAGTAACTTATTCAACAAGTGAAACAACTTTACAATAACTTATTCATATGCTTCTTGATATATGTTATGATTTTGCTATTTTAAATGCTCTATACAAATATTTACTCTTTCTTATTCTACTTGGTTAAAATTAGAGTTTTAATTGGAATAAATCGATTTAGGTAAACGGTATAAAATAGTATTAGCTATAGTCAACAATAACAAGCAAATAGAGTATAAACAATATTTTCTTCAAACAGACTACTGGAAGCCTGCAAAATTCTCAACCTAGACTACGACGACGCGCGTCGACTCCGAGCTTGCCTTACAAAGCAACCAGCAGCCGCTGAAGAACAATTAGACAATCACAAAATACGTTTCATAACACCAGCTCAAGTATTACAGATTCTCAATCAAAGAACTGACCTCAGTGACGCTTCAAGCCCTTCGTCAGTCATGGAGTTGTTCTGAAGATACGAAGGAGGAGGCATCTAAGCAACTTGCCAGTAACGTGTGGCATGTACAAACAGGTACATATCAAGCTATAAAAACCAGTGTAAACTGACCGTTGAATGTACGGAAGGATCTTATAGAGCGAGATCAGATAATACTGGTTTGTATAACTCGATATGTAGTGGTATGTACAACCATCGAACCACTATTTCAATCCATTGATTATCCTTTTTTAGCGAACACCCTGTTTATCCTTCGTTTTCTTCCCTATAAGCGTTGATATGTCAAATCCTGTGACCTCCCTAGCTAACATTCTATACGTATTTTATCTTTTCGATAAAATTGTATTTATTAATGCTACGGCCACACTATCGGGAGTTTCTATCATAAATTTGGGTTCACAAGTCTATAGACAAGGAAGATACTCTAAATATTAAATGTTATATCATGATTTATCAACACCCTATGAGAGGCCACGGCTGACCTATGGGCCTGCTCTGCTATAGAGGAGCTTTGCCATAAACTCCAGGCTTAGCAACTGGGTTGGTGATTGCAGTTTAAAAGGATGAAAGAACAATATTGTCCAGTTTTTTGTCCACAATATTACCCGTGCGTACGGCGCGTCGCGTTCAGCGCGCGCCTCAAAGAGCCATCAGACCACTACAGATGGGGCCCAACAGGGCCAATGCCGATTCGGAATCGCGGAGAACCTAACGGGTTACCGGGGCTCCGGCTCGACGTGCAGAAGAAGGAACGAGGTGGTTTTTAGTCAGTAAGAGTCTGACACTCTCCACCGACTCACCCAGGCCGGAGCAATCTTTCGATGATTTTCCATCCTTAAAAAAAACTACTGTCGCAGGTAATTTGCGATAAATATTATGGCCGTAGCATTCGGAAATCCTGACGCGGTGACTCAATGAAGGTCATAGGTGTTTAGTATACTAAATTGTAAAATGTTTCCGCGTCATATAATCCTAAACTCTTACTAATACTATAATGTAGAATCTATGCACGTACTTACGTATTTAGGTATTTTTTTGCGAAATAAGAATTAAGTTGTTGGGTTTGGCATTCAATGTAATATATCAAGTAATATTGATCTAATAAAAGAAATGAAATATCCTGAATTTTGAAATAAAGATCAAGAAATTTGAATGGATCTTGAATGTTTTAGTTATCATGACTAAACTCCTAAACAGTACTACTGATTTTAATGACATACACATAAAGGAGGATTGTCAAAAGTCTCTTCTGAAGGCTAAAAACTTATCGACTTAATCCTTATTTCGAAGCACAATCATTTAATAGTTTTACTATATTCATGCTTTTCATAACCCTAACATTATAACAATTGGAGTAACTAGTTGATTCGACGGCATTAGCTCGCGGCAAGTTCATTTAGAGAGAGTAGCCTCCTCCTTATAAAATTTTATGTGTACATATTTGTGAATTTACGTGTATTCGATGTCTAAAGTATCAACTATTTATCTAAAGCTAGGTCTTCACTAGCGATTTTAAACAAACACAGTGACATTCGGTTGATAAATTGTCATTTTTTATCTGTGATTGCAATGCTACTAATATAAATCGTCGCTAGTGTATACCCAGCAATATCATGTTCATTAAAATTTTGTTGTAGAACTTATTCAAAAAGTAATATAATTCTTGTTCTCTCAATTTCAAGAGCTAGCAGCTAGTTTTCAAGAATAAGCATTAATTATCATGCCAATATTTTACTAAAATCATATTTAAAATGTATTTGAATTTGATGTATAATATCATAGTTTTTGTCTATGTAAGTTCCTCCTCCATATTCATTCCAAAAAATATTCTAGGAATTAATGTTAGGTAATAAGTAATGTTAGGGGAGGTGTAATAATTATTTTTCTGTACGTTATTTATTTTCTCGCCATTTTGATTTCACAATTTGACATTTAAACGTCAAACTTGCGTGCTTATCACAGGCCACAGATAAAAATAAATATTGTTTTATTTTTTTAATTTTGCTATTTTAAATTTCGTGTGTCTATTCTAGCCTGTTCGTTTAGTTTGCTGTTGCAAATTACTTTTCAGCCTTTATTACGCTTTCATCTTAATGTAAAAAGCAGCTATTGATATTTAATAGTCTTAAAACTACTGCTTATAAATGTCATAAACTTTTTATTTGTAATATTGGATAAATAATTGGTGGAGATATGGTTTAACTTTGATATTTTCGATGTAGAGTTAAAACTGTTTTCTGGTATTGGTGTTTGTGAAATCAGTCAGTGTAAGCAACATAGGTACTCAAAAAGTATATTGTATGTATGGATGTCTATATAATCGTAAGTAGACGTGTTGAAAACACTTGGACTGAGTCTAAAAATATATATTTTTAAGATTGGTAGAAGTTTATTTTTATTTAAAGCGGCGACGCACACTTTCTTCTAAAACAATTGTAATGAAATGATGTAAAAATAAATTAATATATTCATGTTTTTAAATGATTTTTTATTTTAACAAAATACAAGAATATTGTACAAAATAACTTACAAGTTACTATCTCAGTTTAAAACAAGTAATGGAATCTCCATTCTTAGTCTCAGTAGGACTTATATTTAGTATATTATTTAAAACTAATATAAAGCCGGCACACAGATCTCTTTAATGGCACAAAATGCACCTTGAAATCAAATGCATAGAGTATACCGAAATAAAGATAAACAAAAGTATCTTTATATTGTATTGTGAGTTAAAAGAACATGGTAAGACATTTTGGCGGGCATAATTTTCTTCTTCATTAAAAAAAGGTTTTGCGTCCATGATTCTACCGTAGAGAACTGAACTGGCATAGTATGTACACTACTTCATATACTCTAAATCTATAATATAGAAAAATGAATCCCTTTTTCCCTTGGTCACTTTTGTTGCATTTGTTTATATTAGGAGAAGGTTATTATGTAAGAAATAAAGAGATATTTCTTGATTATAGGCGGTAAGAAGTTCGCCGGGTCAGCTTAAAAGATAATTTATGCTTTACAGAGAGCAATACTGAAAATAAGAAATTCAATGTTACTGAAGTTGAACATAAGGTCCAATGATTAACAGATCAGCTTGCGACTGACTACTAGAAGTTCGATAATGTTTCAATTCGTTAAAATTTTTCACTATCCAAATATATGTTTTTGCATGTTTAAAATGTTAAAAAACGTCATCGTTACGGTCCTACGCATTGTCTTTTGACTCACAATTTACAACGATACATACATTTTGTATCTTCATAGCACATTTCATTGCTATAAGAGCATTCACAACACAATCAAACGCACGAACAGAAAATGCACTCTAGTAACAAAGGTTCTATATCCCATAATATTAGTTGCGAATTTGTTCACAGCCTTTCTTGCAAAAATTCCATTTTCACACAAAGACAAAGTGAACAAAAACAAGTTGTCATTCAGTGCATTAATTGTCGAATAAATATGTTCTCCACAAATATTTACAAATAGGCATTCACTCTTCTATACGTAACATAACTAATACTTTGTATATGACTACTTACAATGTATCTAAACTTAAAATTACAGTCATCAACAACATTATAATACTTGATAATAAATATTGAATTCCACGTTGAACTAAACTCATTCACTTTACTACATTTCATTTTCAGCCACTAAACTAATTAGCTACAATGGAAGTATTTATTATTACTATCACAAACACTGGCTGTAGATTCAGTGAACCGCCTATTATTATGATTTATAGAATTTCATAAAACGCTTACAGTTTGTACTATACATTTTTACACTCATCTAGTTTAGTTATCTTGTCATTATAATATAAATTGTCTTCACTACCGCACAACGTCATGTAAGTACGTTTTTATTGTCTAAAGTACGATAAAGTATTTCCTTGGGCACTGAGTCTAATTAAATTATTATATTTACATTTTCTTCCGGAGCATTAACAGGAAAACGGCTAGAGCCTCTAGCTTTAGTCGAATTTTTTCCTCATTTTTCGCGATTTAAACCAAATATTTTTTGTTGAGTGCTCTACAACTTGACCTCGGCATTGACGGAGTGGTTGGTTCCTGCCTCCGCCTCGCGCTGCTTCCTTGGGTCTTGCGTGGTGGTGTTCCACCATTGCTCGTCACCTGAGGCCCACGCTACGAACACCAAGTTCGTGAGGATGAACACGGCTAGAGCTATCCAGAACACCAACCTCCATTGTACCAGCGTACTCTGAAAATATATAAAAATGTTTGTAAGTATATGCTTGCTTGTTTACGCACCATATAGGTAGTGTGATTTAGAATAGCTATGTATGGAAAAAGTAATTGTGTAGAATGAAAACTGCTCTATTTGTTTAATGACTTCCACATCTCAATAAAGCACCATACAAAAAACATCTCAAATAGGCAACACACGTGTGTTTATATTCTAAAACACATTACATAAAGTGTGCCAAATGTCTTAACATTATGGAATGCAATAAAACAAGTATCGAATTTAGTGATTTCCATAACAGTCGAAGCCTTTTTGTTGCCAAAACCAATTTCAAGGACTTGTGTTCGATTTGCCAAAGTAAGTTTGTGTTGCGATACAATACGCAATTCGTTCCGGTACTTACATCAGGAGTCAGTAAGCCGACTAGGTATGGAGCGATGATGCCAGTAATAGCTCCTATGCCATTCACGATCGCCATTATAGTGCCAGCGTATTTGCCACTTAGGTCAAGTGCGTTCACTTTCATGCCAGGGTAGAATGCTCCCATCAGACCCATGGAGGCGGTGAACAGAATGACCACAGCCTCAGTGTTGCAGCCGGAGTACGACGCGAGGATCATGCAGATACCAGGCCCGACAGATGCTGTAGAGAGAAAATTTTGTGCTTAGTAATGATAAGTTTCAGAATATCTACACATAAAGGTGAAAACCAAATAGACAGCAAATACTAGTTAGCACAATACTTAGTTACCAATTTGAAAGTACCTATTTAACTTTCAATGTTTTTACGATCGCAATCATAAAACTATGAACTAACATTGCGAAATCTTACTCAATTATCATAAAAGTGTGCAAACAGTTTTACCTAATTAAATAAAGAAAACAATGTTATGGTGTACAATTAGCAAGTACATAAGTGTTACATACCGATGGTGGTGAAAGTCTTCCTAGCGTTGGTGACAGTCAGCCAGTTTCTCTTGACAATCTTGTCGCAAATCCATCCGAATGCGATGGAACTCAGCCACATGACTGCGTAAGGCAGGGCTGCAAGCGTGCCTGTCCTATGGATGTCGAACTTGAGGACTCCTGTCATGTACTTAGGAAGGTCGGTCACCATCGTGAAGTACCCGTAGTCGTGACCGATCTGTTGACAACGAATTATCGTTAGTGTTGCAATAAGTAACATTTGCTGGTGATTTGTTAGAAGTAAGACCACCTTGAACGTGGTTTGTGGTTTATTTTTAAACTAAATCTAAAATTAAAGTGATAAGTGTTATGGTAACCTCACGCGGTTTAGATTGAAGTACCATGACCCTATTATGTAATATTTGCGTATCCTATATAAATAACTTGACCCCTCTTTCTATATGGTTAAGACAGATGATCTTCGATTTTCAAACTAACCCTTATTCTAATCTAGTACCTATAAAATTATATTTTCCACGCCAGAGTCACTTTTACCTCATCCATCAATCAGCAATAAAGGGGGTATATCAATAGGGGGTTATGAAAATTTCGTTATATTTAGCCAGAACCTCTACATTTTCGGATATTGCAATATTTCGTGCGGTTTAAGGCAAGACCGTTCTTAAGCTTCCGCCCTATCAAAATATGTTTAAGATTTTATAAAAGGGGGGCATTTCAAGCCAAGGTCACTCCTACCCTGCCCCTTAGTCTCTATTATTGTTTCCTTGACAAAACAATATTACCAAAGACGTAGGTTTAGAAGAGTCACAACAAGAGATTTGGGTCCTACGTAGATAGGTGTAACGAACTACGTAAGTCACCTATCAAAAAAACCGAATGCGGTCTCCATATGCAGCTAACAATAAGCCTTTAACGATCAAATTTCGTCTTGTTCATGTTTAACACACAATAAGCAGTTATGCTAAGCTGATGAACTTAATGACTTGATGATCTAGTCGTACACTCCTTTACTATACGTCGTTTGTTTTGAATTAGGCGAAACTGCACGTGTGTGTGTTTACATGTAGAGCACGTGATTGAGTTAGGGCTTGATGTTAGCTTGTTATGACTACTAATTGTAACCCCAATTCATACTGTTTGATCTATATGATGATGGTATACATTTCGCCCACTTCTCATGCATGAGGGTGGGGGTTCGAAACCTACCAACGGCAAGTACCAATGTGACTTTTTCCGAGTTATATGTACTTTCTAAGATTATTTAGACACCACTGACAAACGGTGAAGGAAAAACATCGTGAGGAAACCTGGACTTATAATTTCTAATTATAAGTTTGAAATCGCCAACCCACATTGAGCAAGCGTGGTGATTAATGCTCTAACCTTCTCCGTGTGAGAAGAGGCTTTGCTCAGCAGTGGGCATTTATAGGCTGTTGATGATGATGATGATGATACATTTTTAAGTTCTTAAGGCACTTTATTAGGTCCGAAGCTGGTTTATTCAGACATTTAGAGGACTTTTTTTGAGGGGGTGAAATCAGCCAATGGCTTCTCCCGCCCGGGTGGGGCGAGAGGGATTGTCAGACTTATACTGAATAAAAACCGCCCCTTTCAGCCCCGGCAACACGTTAAGTCTTCCGCGGATCCGACATTTAGAGGACCTGGTAGGCCTCTTAATGGGTCAGGATGGCAATCACTAGTCTAACATTCCCTAACTTTTCGCCACATAAGACCTTGTACGCTGTACCTTCTGAAGATATTCCCTGTTATACATTTTAAAAGGGTGCTTTACTATGCGATTACTGCGATCCTGGTGGCCCAAACAATTTTTGAAAATGTGACATGTTATAAATAAAGGAATTGTAGTCACAATCGGTTTGTGAAGACAATTTTTTAGCACCTGATTAATACAATGATTAGGACAACTGATTTAATATATCGGAAGGTAGTGTATGTTATCGATGTGTCGCTAAATCTTTGAAAAACACGACCCATTTTTTTGTTATTTTATGAATCCAAATAAGCAGTATCTAGTTAAAAATATAACTTTTCATGCATGTGATGTATAATAATGTAACTTACGCATTAAGGCCTTTAAAACCGGATTTCATAATCTATTAATTACCTACCATAAATAAATAATAACTCTTTGCTCAGCTATAAAACAATAACTAAAACTCAATTCATAAATTAATTCAATTACGTATTCTTTACAGCCATTCTTTATTTCGTTCCGTTGTATTTTGTTCCGTTCGTTAACTGCTCTGGAATTCATTTTATGCCTAACTAGCTGTTGCCCGCGACTTCGTCCGCGTAGATTAATGACTTTTGACAGAATTAATCAGAATCAATTCAGTGCCCAAGTAAGATTTACCTATTTTGAAATTATTTATCGTAGTTTCAATAAATAAATACTCCCGCAGGGATCTTACCAGTACAGTGCCCGATCACGTAAGGTTTTAGTAATAAAAACTATTCTATCGACTATTGTTGTACCGAATCTCTCTAGAATAAGTTCAGTGGTTAAGAGTTAGAGAGTCCTGGGGCATTGACGCATAGTTCCCGTTCTCGTGACATCTGTGAAAAAACTATAATACGTTACCCAGGTCCCAAATCATCGTTTTACCGAATGTAATTCAAAAAGATTCAATGATTCTAAATTCAATGGCTAAGAAGATTTAAACAAACTCTCATCCCCTATTTTACCCCCTTGGGGGTGGAAATTATCAAAATCCTTTCACAGTGGATGCTTACGTCATAACATCTATCCGCATGCCAAATTTCATCACGATCGGTTTAAAACTGACAAAGTCTCATACAAACTTTCATCCCCTATTTTACCCCCTTGGGGGTGGAAATTATCAAAATCCTTTCACAGCTGATGCTTACATCATAACATCTATTTGCATGCCAAATTACAACCCGATCGGTTTAAAACTGACAAAGTCTCATATAAACTTTCATCCCCTATTTTACCCCCTTGGGGGTGGAAATTATCAAAATCCTTTCACAGTGGATGCTTACGTCATAACATCTATCTGCATGCCAAATTTCAACCAGATCAGTTAAAAACTGACAAAGTTTCATATAAACTTTCATCCCCTTTTTTACCCCCTTGGGGGTGGAAATTATCAAAATCCTTTCTTAGCGGATGCCTACGTCATAACATCTATCTGTATTCCAAATTTTAGCCCAATCTGTCCAGCGGTTTGGGCTGTGCGTTGATAGATCACTATGTCAGTCAGTCAGTCAGTCAATCACCTTTGAATTTTATATATATAGATATTTCACTGGCAACCTCCAAACTTGGTAAGTAGATACTTCGACGGAATAATGATGAACAAAGACGCGCGGGTCTAATACTAATGTGCGAACCGAACTAACTATAACTTAGTTCCTGAATTACGTACGAACGAGATTTAGGAAACAGACCAAGGTGATAGAGATTAGTACTACGTAACTTGTACCCACGGCTATTGAATAAGACCGGATTGGCTAAACGGATAAGCAAATTCGTTCAAGGTAATTTTTGCAACAAAATCTGGTATGTAATAAATCACTTAACTATCTGCACCTAATATAAGACAAGACAGTTTCCGTTACACAAGTACCTCGGAAACATATTGGTTCTCATCTGTCGATTGTAAATATGAATCGATAACATCCATTGAAATAATCGTTATGAGTGAAAGTAGCTATACAATAGATTTGTTATTATACTAATTTCAATAATACGGAAGGACTTTAGTAGCGGGTCGAATGAGCATGCTCGATCGGAGTGATACCACGACTTACATAAGTAATACTAGCGTGAAACAACGCAGGCGTTGTGTTTCGCCGTGTGAATAAGGTTACCGAGGCTCAATCCCCCAATAGTCGGCAACGTACTTGTAATTTCTATCGTGTTGCGGTTGTCTGACCAGGGTGCTTTCTCTTGAAACCAATCTCAATGTCAATACAATTTTAATCCAGTAAAATCTCAATAATACAACACCTATCGCAGCTATTAAAATAGCATTCAGAGTACGGAATGTAAAGCCAAACTCAATATCAATTAGTTCATTCAATATCCACGCAATACGTATTCAATGGGCGCTAGTGTTGCGACTCAAAAGTACGAAATTTTACAATACCAATGTTGATCAATCGGAATTGGATTCAAGAGTAAGACCCTGCTCATTTGCCGTCTCATTTCATAAAGAAGAAAAATTACCTGAGCGCAAACCAGGGCCCATAGTGGAACCGACATGAAGATGGCTTTCCAGGGGATTGCTGACGGAAGACTGCTGCGGTGACTGCCTAGCGCCTCTTCAAGATACTTCTTCTCTTTGTCCGAGATGAATGGATGCGACTCAGGGTCATTGTAGCAGAGGATCGCCTGAAGCAAAGAAGATTGCATTTAAAAACAAATAAATACAGAATTAAAACGACACAAACAGTATACATGACTTATGTATTCGATTAACCAGCCGTACCATGTTATAATGTAAAGCGAGTTAATTTTATTCTTATCTATAAATTAATCAATAAGGAACCACTTAATAATTACTTTACATTCAGAACGGCGACAGTTCTTTATATTTTTTTATTTAATAAAGTTACTGGTAATTCACGTTTTTGTACCGTAAAATTAAATAGTTTAAAGACAAATTAAACTGGTATTATGAACCTCTTACTTTACGAAACGATCAACCATATTATCTCTTTATACAAATAGAGAAACAGAAGAATTATGAAACTTACCCAGAGAATGAACCAAAGAATACCGATGGCACCAAAGAGGTAGAAGACAGACTGCCATTCACCAGTCTCCTTGATGACCAGTCCTGACAAGTAGGTACCGGCGATGTTGCCAATCTGTGCACCTCCAAAGACAAGGGATCCCATTCGTCCTCTCTCTGATATGGGCGCCCATCGGGCAAGCATTGCGTTTAGTGCAGGGAAGGTGAAACCCTGTAAACGATTTTGTTATTGTAGATTTTTGAAGGTTTATGCTCCTTAGGTATTTTTTGCAAGAAGCTGTAGAAAGAAACTTTTTAATTACAATTAAACTTCTTCTTAATGCAGTTCATATTACGTGTTATAAGAATTTTAAGTTCAGATTTTAAGTTTATCATTTAAATATTGTAAGTATCTTGGATTGCAAAACTCTAAATTTAAATTAGAATGCAACTAATCTTACCTCTCCAAGACCTTCGAGCACCCTCAAAATGATGAGTCCAGTAGCTCCGCCAACGTTGACAGTCCACGGTGTCAGCAGAGTGAAGACTGCGGTACTCAGTACTCCGAAACCAAGAGAGTATTTTCCTCCGAACCGTTCAGCCAGCATACCTCCAGGCAAGTGGGTGACTATGTACCCGTAGTAGAAAGCACTTAGGATCATACCTTGTGTCGCTTCGTCCCAGTCGAAACCCGTCAATTCCTGAAAGGGAATTAAAGTTAGTATGACTGCACATTTGATGCTGTACAAAATCGCCTTGGCTACTTTTTAGTTTTAACTTCTTTAAGGAAAAGCCACTTAAGTGGTTTCTATGTTTATGTTTATAAATGCACTCGCAACAAAGGAGAAAATCGTAGAGAGGGGCAAAGTTTAACACCGGTTTAATAATATGTTTAATGTTTATTTCTTGATGTGATATCCACAGAGGTCATGCATAATGCCAAGTATTATATAACTAATAGTCGACCACAGCCATTGAGTAATCCATTCAATTAGAATTAATGAAACATTTGGTTTGACGAGCTGATGATTAATATAAGATAATCAAGTTCAGACAGTGATTAATCAGGTCAGTCACCTTCATTGTTTATATAACATCGTTATGTTACATCATGAAGAACATGATCTGTTTGTTTGTATAATAAAATCGACGAAATTATTGCCTTTGTTCCAATGATGCCGTTGGATGTTTTCAGTGTGTTTCAAAAACCCACTGTACTGACAGACTGATTAGTATCAAATTTCATTAAGACCATCCTCTATATCCAAATCGTAAAAGTCCATATAATCTTCTTTATCCTTATCCAGGAATTTTAAATATTATGTCTTTGAGTATTAACTATCGAACCTTTTTGATACAAAGATACCTACAATATTGAAAACAGGGTACTTATCTAACAGTATAGCGGATATGTATACATGAGGGTATTGCAATTTGCAATATGTCAAACATTTATCTCTGTCCCAAATCTACCGACAATTCGGCCTGCACCTTTGGCCGAGTGGTCACAAGTGCGACTGTCGGGCAAGAGGTATCCGGTTCGATTCCGGGTCGGGCAAAGAATTACTGGGTTTTTAAAGAAAATCTCAGTGGTAGCACGGAGTTTGGAAATATGCCCAGTATATGGCTATAGGCTCACTTCCTAATTTCATGGGATTTATAATATAAATAGTGAAAATTGGGTGTTACATTGTAAAGTGGCATTTAAATGCCGTAGTGTGCACCTCTGCCTACGCCTTTGGGGATAAAAGGCGTGATGTTGATCATCGCAGGAATCATAAATAAAAGAGCCAAAAGATACTTACTGTAGGGTCAGTGCCTTCCATGTGAACGTCTCCGAGGTCACCAGCGGGACATGACCCATCATTGCCTGCAGAATGTGAGGGCCGGTGGACCATTTGCGTGATAGCTATGTTTAAACAAACACGCATCGTGTACGCGTTGGCGACCGCTAAGAACCCCATGATTGCCATCACCCATCTTTGAGGTATTATAAATACTGGAAATAAAGAGAAAAAACAAAATTAAACGCTTATTCTTAAAACATCACTTAGTATTAATATGTATTATATCGTACCGAAATCCCCAAAATTTTTCATACAAAAGTAGTCTCTAAACATCGGAAATAAGGTCTATAATGGAGTTAGTGGAGAGCGGTCACCGGTGACCGCTTGGGGATTGAATAGTTTAAGGGTTTGCGAATGTATTCTAAAGAAAGTATCATCAGCATCAGCCGGAAAATTTCCACTGCTGAAGAAAGGTCTCCCCCCTTAGAGAGTTCGAGAAAGTTTGTAGTTTCCTATATTTACTAGGATTATGTAAATAGAGTGTCCTTACATTATGAAGTTGTGTTTGTAAGTACGTCTCAAAATTTAAGTTAGCGTATCACTTAACAATTGACTTCCCTGTGCAATGTGCTATTAAGAAGTAACTAAGAACGTCATCATGAGTTCAATTTCCGCATCAATAAAACATTTATTTGAAAACAGAAAAGCTTGGGGACTGCCTCATTGGCCGAGTGGTCGCAAGTGCGACTGCCGGGCAAGGGGTCTCGGGTTCGATTCCCGGGTCGGGCAAAGTATTACTGGGTTTTTCTCAGTGGTAGCACGGAGTCTGGAACTGTGCCCGGTATATGGCAATAGGCTCACCCCCTATTACATGGGACTCATAACATAAATAGTGAAAAGTGGGTGTTACATTACAGTGGCATTAAAAGCCGTAATGTGCACCTCTGCCTACCCTTTCCGGGGATAAAAGGCGTGATGTTATGTTAAAAGCTTGGGTTGGAACGATAAACGATAACATTAAAGTTTCAAAGATCGCAGAGCTGTTTTAAAACCGCCTACAAATTAGAGCTAGGAGCTAGACTATAGTCTCAACCTAAATTTTTTTATTGGCGTTTCGAATTGCAACCTCGTTACAGATTTGCATAAGAGCAACTATTAAGTAAAGTTATTACTAGTAGCATGTACCACGTGAATTTAAAATTCTTAACTATTTATAATTCTAGTACTAAATTAACAACCGACAAATGAGAATAATGAATTTTACTCACGCAAAAAATATCTTGTTACGAATATTTTTTGTGCCGTAATTAACTTTTGAAGTAAATTGCTCTTGTTAATTAAATGTATATCTACCACAATTATTTGATTGTAGGAAGATAAAGTTTTAAGTTTGCCAGTATAAGTGAGTTTATTTGACCTTGACTTTGTTACACAACCTCCTTAGCGAATTAAGGAATGCACTTCAATATCCGAACGCAGGACTGTGCAATCGGAATATTTCGAATCCGATCATAAAATTTATTGGTCACAATGTAAGAAGGTCTCATACCAACCACAGCTTAAAAATAAATTTTATTTGCTGACTAACGACTAGAAAGTTGACGTCCTTTTTTGTATGTAATGTTTTTTTTTTTGTTTATTTACAACTGCAGTGATCGTTAAGTTACGCAATCTATGTTAGGGTTTATGTAATTTTAACGAGACCGATTGCTAACCTCGATTAGTCATTTGGTTATCCTACTTATCTGTTCGTTTTGTAATTTGTATTTGGAATTTGTTACAATTTTGACGTTTATTTCGGCCAGTACCTTATTTCTCCTTCCTAATTTACCTACCTCTGAAGAATTAGACTTTCTCTTTCTAACAGAAACATAATATATTTTTTTACCATTGATAATAACTTTTAACTTTGAAGACAACCTCATTACAGCACATCAGAGACATATAACGGTATGAATGGTTATTAAGTAACTAACGATTAATCGCTACAGTTGCTCAAAACAACCAACTGCACGAAAATTAAACACGATTATTCTCAACACTAACTACAATCAAAACAAAACACAGTTAATTATGTCTGCAACAGAGTTTAAACTGCCCAGTACGTAGAGAACTTTTTAATTTTCAGCTCTATGACTTTATACCTACGTACTGTTTTTGTTCGGGCAACATAAATTTTAGCCATTGTACCTCTAAAGTTATCCGCGATTTGGTAACGGAATGGAAACCGGTGACCGTGATTTGACAGAAAACTGTCAATGTCGTGTCGTAGGGTCACCATCGATCGTAATATTATTAGAAAAATGCAGTGACCCGTGGTTGAATGCAGCGTCAGGTCACAAAACACAATGTTAAGTTGATCGCCGTCTGATTAGCAAAACCCCGCCTAAAGTTCGGGTTTAATGACCTTTTACTATAGAATTTAGAACTCGTGGAAACCGGTGAAACTGTAAAGAGATTTTTTGTAAAATGTTCATTATTAAATTTGGTCACAAAAGCTGTGCATGTTGAATGAATTGTTGCACGAATGTGATATAATAACGAATGGTATTCAAATCGATATCTTGTGTGCTAATTTTGATGGTGTTTTGGTAGCATGAAACCTTTTATAATAATACTAGCGGCCCGCCTCGGCTTCGCGCGAGTGCAATTTGTATGTATTATACATATAAACGTTCCTTAAGAATCACTCTATCTATTAAAAAAACTGCGTCGAAAATCCGTTGCGTAGTTTTAAAGATCTAAGCATACATAGGGACAGACAGACGGCGGATAGAGACTTTGTTTTGTACTATGTAGTGATGATACATAGAATGATGACCAAGATCTTTAAGTAGTCGAATAACTTGTAAGAGACTTGGGTCTCCTGCATTGGTGCTTAGACTTATTTTAACAATTTAGACCTAGGTACTTCGATAAGCTGACAACGAAAATTGCTACCAATTTTGAACTAAACAATATATATCAAACAACAATACACAGTGTGGTACAACGCGGAACTTCCTGAACGCCTTAAAACTTCGGAATTATTTGTAGACGTTAAAAAAATTGCAGGAAATGTGCGTCATATATTCCTAACGGGTCAAAACAAAAGATATAATTGCTGCCATTCTCAAGGAATGTCAAGGAGAATTGTGGAATTATGTCATACGGTATCTAAGCATGTAATAATGTAATTATCTTAATGCCATGTACTGGAAAATAGTTTATTACTAAGCAGAAATTTACTTGAAATTCTATAAGAAATACTGTCATGAATTAATCGCCCTTAGGATCCGCAACACACAGAACTACTGTACACACTATGCTTTCTTTTATTCCGGGGGTAAAATCTCTAGGAAGGGAGTTTCAGACTGTTACTGACTAAAAACCACCCCGTTCCTACTCCTGCACTTCGAGCCAGAGCCCCGGTAACCCGTTAAGTTCTCAGCAGCTCCGTATCGGCATCAGCCCTATGGGGCCCCCTCCGTGGTGGTCTGATGGCTCTTTGAGGCGCGCGAGGAATAGACGCGCCGTACTCTCGAACATCCTAGCCCTGACTTTCCATTAACTTACTGGTTATGACTGTCACTGACTGTTTATGGAGAAGAAATCTTGAGCTGATATTGATCGGGCGAAGACACAATCAGAAACCGTACTACTTTTTCCCAATCTACCAAATTAAATTACTTAACCCTGCACTTATCACTTGCGCAACGAAGCAATGAACGTCAAGAAACAAAATGTCATAAGTAATTACAATTACCTCTTTATAAATACGGACAATGGCCACCGTTGTACAGACATCAAATGAGGTATAAATTGTTGATAATAACTCACGATCGGTCCGTTTGTCATCGCATTGTTGGGCAGTGGTCTGTGACGGATCTGGGAGCAGGACATGTTCCGATCTGATGTTGACAGATTATAACTAGCGGAACTGCTTTGAAATGAGGAAAACTTGATTAGGGACAAATAGGTATACCGCTGTTTAAGAGGCGTCTATAGTTGTAAATTTAGTGTATGGTATTTAAAGTGTTATAGAAAAAAAGTCCTATAAGATTTATACTTCATATCGTGTATCTAAGTCATAAGCTCTATTCTACATTGATGCCATGTTTTAAACTCTTTTCGACATGATTTTAAGACTCTAGAGAAAGAACTAAAATCTAAGATAAGATACCAATAGAGATCGTCGTACAAATGCACTTTTATTAAAAGGAACGTGTAAGATAATTCCGTTGCGTCTAATGGATAGTTAAGTGGCAGTAATTATCCATTTGTGTTAACCAAGTGCATCTATTGACACACTAATTGTTAAACGAGCTAAGGTGGATAAACTAGGCGTTAAAACAATCCCGTCTTGAATAAAATATCAAGGCAACACTTTCCATGTGAATATTTAAGGAGGTAAGTAAGTATCTATTGTTTCTCAGGTTATCTCTACCAGAACGTAATGAGGATCTTAGGTATTTGGCGTTTTGTGGGAAATCGCGGTGTAGGTGTAATTGCTGTTGATCATGTAGGAAGACTAATAATTTGCTGAATTGACTTCTATTGATGGTCGTACGGAAAATTTTGAGTTGTTTAAGATGGTGCTCATGTTTTCTTGGTAAATACTACTATTTTCACACATGTTCGTATACATTTTTTATAAAGTCACGTCTATCTAACAGGTAAATAAACAAATCATTAAATCATAGTTCGCGGTACTATTAAAATGATTTACAAATTGTATTATATTTACGTTTATTTCCATGTTTACGTAAATCATGAATATTCACGTCAACAGATGCATATGATGGAAATTCTACAGTTGCCTTATGACAATGGATCACGTGTAACATCATACCTTTAGACCTAACCTGGTATATTGTATGCTGCACAAAGCTAGAACTCATTTCAATGTCACTTTTATGACAGATGTGATCCAGGCTTCCTTTGTAAGTACAGACTACTAAAAGAATGCAGAATGAAATGACATTTCGAAGGCAAGTACCCAACAAACCTCAGCGGCATCATCGTCAAACCAAAACGGTTTTATAATTTCCGTTCCGTCACCGTTCATAGAATACAGATCAAAGCACGGCCGTTAAAATTCCCGTTGACGGTTGACGGTCTAACACCGAATTGCAGTGACGTATGCACTGTCGACTCGGATCATTAAGCCGCACCAATATGGACCTGAAACCCACGTTCCTGTCAAGTCAGTTGCCTAATTCGGCATTGGTATCG